TGAATCTCGCTAGACTCAAACATCCTCCCGTTGGTGTGGTGAGGAAGTTAAGAAGGGGAGAGCATGCCACCTCTCAGGTTTCGTCCTTGGACTTGATCGAGGGTCAAAATTACGAGGTCCCTCTCCAACAGCCCACGTCTTGTTTTATAGTGCAACGATAATAAGCCCTCACTCACTAAAGTATCACTGAAATTACGTTGTTGTTATACTCACATTTTAAAACGATGTATAGAATTTGACACATCGCTTTAAGGTATCCGACTACGTTCGGAACCGTGACTTTAAAAAAGCGCATAAACGGATAATTTTGATGATATTTAGTGTCACTCAGATTAGAATACATGAATAAAATTGTTTTAAGGACATTTTGACAAAAAAAATTATTTAAATATAATATTTCGGCAAAAAATGAACTTAGAATAACCTTTTTTCAAAATGTTCTCCTTTTGTGAAAAATGCTTCTATTATAATAATATTTTGCCTGTATATAGCTCACACCCCTGTACAGATGCCCAACTATGATTTTTGAAAAATTCACATTATTTTCAGAGTTACAACCCATTGAAATAATTATAAACATTTTTTTCTTATAATTGCTCCCTTCTGTTGTCGTTAAATATGGAGAAACCCACTTCTAAGTTATATATTTCAAAAATTCTAGTTGGATCTCTGTACAGAGGTCTGAGCTATATACAGGCAAAATATTATTATAATAGAAGCATTTTTCATAAAAGAAGAACATTTTGAAAATGGGTCATTCTAGGTTCATTTTTCGTCAAAATATTGTACTGTAATAATTTTGTATTGTAATACTATTCTTATAAAACAATAATAATCTAAGTGATACTAAATATCATAAATATTATCTATCTATACGCTTCTGCAAAATCACTGTTCCGAACATAGTCGGATACCTTAATATTCTTAAGTATTTATTTTCCGAAATAAATGCGAATGCCAACTTATTTTGTGGATATTCTTATATTTTGAATTGGAGTTTTATACATTCAATTAAGTGATTTATATCTGAAGCAATATAAAAAGAAGTAATATAAAAAAACAATTTTTAAGTCAATTCTTGCTTACGTCAACAAAGAAAAATTTTATATTTTAGTTTTTTTTTATTAAATAATTACAAGCAATATAAATATGTATATACATATGACAGAATCACAATAATAAGTGGCAAAACAGAAAGTGATTTTCTTTGCAATTTTACATTTTCCTTTCTATATACGGTGTTAGACTGTTATAATTTTTTTATTCATTAATTAAATTTAATTAATCCAAAAGTAGAACAGTAAGACGAAATCCCATACTCAGAAAGTAAGCCATCCCAAGTGGGATTCGAACCCACTACCTTTACATTAGAAGTTAAACACTCTATCCATTGCGCTACGAGCGATTTTCCTTTTTTATAAACGGTGTTGGACTATTATTTTTTTTGAAATTTATTCGTTAATTAAATAAAATTAATGAATTAATATTTGAAGAAGTATATTAATTTCAAGTGTCATCCATTATAAGTTTAAAAAATGTATTTGAACTTGAGTGGATGAATAAAAAATATTTTATTAACGATTGAAAATTTGAAGATGTATTTACATAAATATAAATAAATAAATATAGGGAGAATGTGAACTATATAACAGTAGGAATTGTGAATAAGGTAAAATGATTTTATACATTTAATAAATTTAGATAAAATAATAATAAAAAAATTAGGTTCGAATTTCAGACATGAGTAAATTAACTATCTTTTTTCTTATTAAACACGAAAATATTTTCAATACAATATAAATGAACTCTAACAAACATATGATAAATTAATTTCCGGAAGAAATTTATAAAAGTTCCTTTTCCTGCCTCCGACTGATCATTGATTGTAAATTAATGACACGCTCAGAAACAAAACGACGCTACTTACGACGGACTTCGTAATTTTGAACCACTAGATCAGGGGTACTCACCTTTTTTTCTGCTGGGCCGCATATATACATATGTCTGCAATCTCACGCGGGCCGCATACATATGTTAGTTATTTCACGCGGGCCACAATATGAGAATAAATGGGGGAGGCGGGGGGGAGAAATGCTTTAAGACCACGATAACATTGGAAATTTAAAATGTGGAAAATTGATCAAAATATTATAACTCCCCTGTTTTGCTTTTTTTAATTATTATTTTTTATATGTTTTTTTATTTTTGTCCCTAACACTAAATTAGAAGCATTTAAGAAATACTCCTTCACAATTTCTGCATCAGTAAACGGTTTCATATGATTACCAATAATGTAACAAACTTCATAGGATGTCTCTCTTCCTTCTGTGACATTACCACTGACAAAACACTTTGTTGCTGTTGCAGAGATTATTCAATAAAGCCTATTTATCACCGCTTGAAGGAGATCTCCGAGGATAAGTGTCATTGATGATTCCTGTTTATTGGTATTTTTTAAAAACAGCACTTTCGTGACAAATGTAACAATTTCTGATCCATGCTGGTTTTTCATGACAAAATAGTCAACTTCCCAATCGTCTTGAAACGATATGTTTCCTTCAAATATTTTTCGATTGCAAGGTATTGTTAAAAATTAGTTCCACCCATAAAATTGTCGCTACTCCACTGTTGTCTGTTATCGCTAACCGTAATCGTTCAAACAGAAAAAGACGTACCCATACGACACCGACAGCAAAAAGCAAAATTGATGTATTTGATTTCTTGACAAAGAATTTCCCACCAAATTTTTAATACGATGTTCTTAAATATGTGAATTTCTCAGAGCCATGGGCCATGACCGAGCCACTTGAAAAGGCTCGGAGGGCCGCAGGTTGAGGATCGCTGCACTAGATTAATTGATTCAATTATTTGATTTACGTCTCACGTGGGCTACTGACAACAACTTCCTGATTTTGAACCTGCTCGCTGTTTGACGTAGTTGGTTTGTCGCTGGCCTTGTACGCCTAAGTTTGTAGGTTCAATCCCGGCTCAAGTTGGTGGATTTTCATGACGCAAAAAATCGACAGCATGCATGCCGTATGATTGTGTGGCATGTTTAAGATCCCTAGAGTACCTGTTTGGATTTGGGGATGTATTCCAGGTACAGTTTCGCATCGTCAGAGCTCAGGTGCCTCCCTCTGGAGAGGAAACTGAACACCAAAATGACGTTGTGGCAATTCATATCCACCTATATGGCGCCACACTAAAAAAGAGATACCAGCTGTCAGGGAATTCTAGGTCTGCAATGGTAATTGCCAATTCGCAGCCCCATTAGAAAGAAAGGAAGAATTTTGAACCTCTTGATTGATTAACTTGATTTATGTCACAGTTTGATTTTAGTTTAAGTCGCCCTCTGAAGAAGCACTAGAGTTATTGATAACGGATGCCTTAATTATTCAAACCACGGTCAAGTGATTAGGACAACACCTGAGATGACTACCCAATCTCCAAATTTCCATGCCAACGTGAGGACCTTGAGCCTCAACAAATTTCTCATGCATCAACACCTCTATAAGGAGGTTTTAAACGATCAATTGTTTTGGTTACAATTGTATTCAAGGATGAACTTGTGACGGGGCTTTATTACGCCTTCTCACTGATCCTCTTGGGGAATCTTTGGGGCCAAATGGCATTATTTCAATCCAATCCTCTCAAGAAGAAACCGCGATATGCAGATTAGTGAATAGATATATAAGGGTTTAGCATTCGCGAATTAGTTGGATAGAAGCCGGATAGTAGAATAGAAGTCGGATAGTAAGGGAATGGAAGAATAATAGTAGAAGAAGAAAATACAAGAAGAGACAGAAAGTCGGGGTGCTGATCGCTGTGAGATATTGGTAAGAGATTAATTATAGAAGAGTAATTATAGAACGAACTTTAGCTTATTAAGGAGTCTACAGTAGATAAAGATTCTGAGGTTAATTTCTCATAAAGACTGTGAGTAGGATTTCAGGCGCTATTTATTTAGAATTGATAATTACTCCTGATCATATCCCTCTAGTAATGCGTTGATCAATATATATTTATACAATAATAAATTAGATTTATTATGGAAAATTTGATTGATCAATCATTTATTCCTACAAATCTAGGTCGCGTAGATGGAGAGATGATACCCGCGGGGTACCACAGACTTATAACCAAAAATTGAAAAATTTTCAATCATAATTTTCCCTAGAAATGTATGTGGACGTTATAGTAGAGTCATGGGTTGGAATCCTGCTGCCACTGAAGACCCACGTGTAGAGAGGGGTTGCTGCGTGTTAAACTTTCCTAGGTTTAAAGACACCCTGCTTGAGTGGAATAAAAGTTCAGAGAGTGGGAAGCTAGCTTAAGTGTCGGCCTCGTTACTTGACCGAGGCTCATAATCACGAGATCCGTAACCAAAAAGGCACGTGAAGCTTTTAAGTACGACGTTAATATAGAAACAAATCAAATCAAGTTAATTGTGAATGTAGTTGAATGACTATTTAATACCATCGCTCTTTGAAACAACCCGAATATCAGCGACCGATCTCTTAATTAACGTGGATGTGCAAAATGGAATTACAACTTTAATAGCCTTCATAGTTCTGGTCTTTAATTCATTTAATTATGGTTATCAGATTAGTGTTCAAATAACTTGCACGGTTGATCTTTACAGATAGAACAAGTGAATCGAATTAATTGTTAATTCCGTTGTGCAGTTATTCGAAAATTACACTTCTTTTTTCAATTCCTACTATTAGTTCCCACTATATATATATATATATATATATATATATATATATATATATATATATATATATATATATATATATATCTTGTTCAAATTTTCAATCGTTAATAAAATACTTTTTATTCATCCATTCAAGTTCAAATACTTTTAAACTTGTAGTGGATGACACTTGATGTTAGTACATTTTATTAAATATTAATTCATTAATTATATTAAAAAATGAAGAAGCAGTAACAAAAATAATAGTCCAGCAGCATATATTGAAAGGAAAATTTTTCGTTGTGTTTCTGTAGAGCAATAGATAGCATATTGGACTTCTAATCCAAAGGTCGTGGGTATGAATTCCACCTGAAATGGCCTAATTTCTGAGAAAATGAATTTTTTTACTATACTATATTTCATTAGAATAATTAAATTTAATAAGTGAATAAATAGTAACAACAACAAAAAATAGTCCAACACCCTAAATAGAAAAGAAAATGGAAAGTTGCAAGGAAATCGCTTTCTATTTTGTCACTTAATATTGTGATTCTGTCATATGTATATACATATTTATATCAATTGTAACTATTCAATAAAAAGTAGCTAAAATAAAATGCTTCTTTGATGACCTAAGTAAGAATTGACTTAAATTTTTCTTTTATATTACTTGTTAATGTTTCGTATGAATTTCCTTACTTATTGATTTCAAATTTATACTAAAATAAAGAACAATCCTTGATTGTTATAATATTATTCATATTACCCCTGAATTTTGAATCAAAAGTATATAGAATTTTGAATTAAAAGTATAAATTCGTGTGCTAGTGTTTCTTAATGATAGAACACCACGTTTGCTAAAAATGTTCTTCGCTCAACTTTTTTTATATTTCAAATATTTATAAAAAAATTATTGTAAAACATAACAATATGCTTTCAAATAATAAAATTTTGCTAAATATATTCCAAGCTCTAATTTAATTTCAAATTTTCTTTAATTTCGGAAAATACGCTCCCCTACTACTCAAATTTTTTGGATGTTTATTTTACGCACGGCTATATATTTAATCCATGCATCTTTTTGATTTAGTGGATGACTTTTTATTTCTATTACAAGCCCTTTAATTACTTAAATAATTTTTCAATTTCAAAAGGAAAAGGACACAAGAGCATTTTCGGAAATGAGTGGACTGATTGGCTTATAAAGGCTGCCACCAAGCGCGAAATTGACATTGCCGCTAATATTACTAAATCCTTTTACAAGAAGATTACGAGAGAAAGAATGGTGGAGTCTTGGAACCAATAATATCTCGTATCAAATAAAGGGAGCTTAACAAAGAAATTCTTTTCAACCATTAATACGAGACTGTCACACATCACACACAAGTGTGTGCCATCTCTCTCTCTCTCTCTCTCTCATTTTTATACTAATTACAAAGTAACTTTATTTCTTACTGGTCATGGTAAATGTAAAAGTTATTTGAACAAATTTAATTTGTTCCCGTCATCTTAATGCTGCTTTAACATTGGTGGTGAGGAAAATGTAGAACATATGTTCCAAGTTTGTCAGAGAAAGAAAGATCCTAAGACTGGCTCTCAAGAGCTTTAATATGAATTGGCATCCAGATTTTCACCAACTTATTTCTAGCAGAAGTGCGTTGGAAAAGTTCTGTAAATTTATTGAAAACATTTGTAATCCTTCAGGATTTTGATATTTTTTTCTTTCCATTGTAATGTATGTTTCATACTTACTTCTGTAAGCCCCATGTGATACTTTGTGGCGCACGGAGATTCACAAATGTTTTCAATAAGAAAAAGAAAAGGAGATTCTACCTCCTATTTTTTGCAATACAGTAGAACGTCGTTTATCCGAATCAATTGGGACCGGACACCGTTCGGATACACAATTGTTCGGATAATCGAAAACCGAATGAGATCTATGCAGTGTATGAAACCGGACACTATACGAATATTGAAAATCATCACATGCGGGAAACGGGCTTGAAGAAAAAGCAAAATAGGTGCAAAATGTCGCAATTTTACCTTTATTCTGGAAAATAATCACTTATTTTTCGCTATACCTTTGTACACCATCGTTTTTTCGCTGCAAGGTCTCCGATTCTCTTGAGCAGCAGTAGTTGAGTAGGACAGTGATTGTTGTTCTTACCACTCCATAGCTTTTTCTAATGCAGAAAACATGTCAACTTTCGATGGACCCTTGCTACTTTCGTTGTTGTTGTTGCCCTCGTCTTCGTCCGTTTCATCGTCGACAGGTTGGATTCTTCTTGTACGGAAGTCACAATCTCGTCATTATTTAGCATTTGAAATCCACAGTCTTCTGCATTGCATGCCATCCAGGTTTCTACATCTTCATTGCATTCTTCAAATCCTGGGATTGATTGGTCTAACTCGGTAATCTCCACTTTCTCCCTTCGCGAGACGGTTCAATATTTCAAGTTTTGTCTCTATGTTCAAGACGTTGCGTTTCCGTTTTGAATTCGAAGCCATAGCAGTTCAGAACTCAACAAAAGAACACGTATACACCCCCTCACTTGAAAACAAGCTGACCTAATATTCCGTGCACATGTTTACCACACATCACACAACTTAAATTCCCCAAATATCCTTGACCTTGGGTTTTCTCGTCACTTTTGGCCTCACTTGAAACAACTGTAGATCATTGCACTGTTCGAAAACGTATTCATACATAGTACATGTGTGTGGACCACCCTGGGTTCCACCCTGGACACCAAGATTAATTTGAGGCAAAGAATCACTAAGAGCCATTTTGTATAGTAATAACTTGTATTTATTATAACACTTCAAATATCAGAAACTCTAATAACATATGATATTTCTATGTTACGTCAAACAAAAGGGATTTACCTTTAATATTAAATTAAATTACGAATTATGAAATTAATCAATAATTATGCGCAAGATCAAATAAGGTCTACCGAAATAGGAGGTCCGAGAAATACACGTTACTCGAATTATTAGCTTTCATTAACTTTAACTAATTTTATTAAACTAACGCTTATTTTAAGAGTAAATAAATTATAGTTACCACCTGGTATATCAGCTTTCCAGATTCTTTCGTAAAATAACAGCAATAAGGCTTCACTAACGTAATCCAATGGAATCCTCTAAATTTGAGGCTACTGCTGCTGGCTCAATAGCCTTCATACTTGCTAGCTTACAACGTTCGACTTAAATACCCTATCTACTTTGCATATCCCGTTCACTTTTTGGAGTTGATTGGAAATATACGCGAATTTATAATCCCCAAAAAGACGCCTAAGAATATTAGTGGAAAGGTTCGGTACAGATTCGTCACACATGTAGTTGACAGAAAAAAAAACGGTTCGGATATTTGACGCTCCGGATAATATACGTTCGGTTGAACGACATTCTACTGTAGTAGTTTCAAGAAATAAATTTACTTGTAAATGTGATTATATAAAAGTCTTTTTTTTTTAAATCCAAACTACACTGCTCAAAACAATTAAAGATATTGTAAGTTTTATATAAAATAAAGATATAAGCGAATTTTTTTTGCCGAAAACGGAAGAAGAGAATCCCAAATGCAAATTTTTCTGATTTTCAAACTGTGGAGTATGCTAATTTTGAGTTCGACGTCAAAAACGTTGCTTCAGCGGCAGCGAATGAAATTAGACTTCCAACTGAAATGAAGACAAGGATGATCGGCATTCAGTGACTGCTTTGTTTCGATAAGTACCATGTCTCAGCGAAATCATTTAACCGATTCAGAAGCTTGGAGACTTGTTGGTAGGTTAGAAGGGGGCTAAGCTCAAGCCGAAGTAGCGAAAGCCATTGGAGTGTCACAAAGTGTGATTTCCAGGAACTGGAACCGTTTTTTGGAGACTGGAAGTGCAGGCAGAAGACCAGGACAAGGTCGTAGACTGGCAACAACGCCCAATGAAGATCGTTTTTTAGTGTTAACGGCTCGGAGACACCGAAATATGAACGCTACTCTTCTCCAACAACACCTTCGCTCGGCTACTGGCACCACGGTTTCAATTCAGACTGTCCGAAACCGGCTCCATGGTTTAGGTCTGTATGCTCGCCGACCGATGGTATGTGTTAGACTAACATCAAGGCATCGTCGCGACCGCAGGGAGTGGGCAACAGAGCATGTGAACTGGAGGAGGAATGAATGGAGCAATGTTTTTTTCTGACGAGTCCCGTTTTTCTGTTCAACCGGAAAATAGGCGTATTTTCATCTGGAGGGACCGTGGCAGTAGCAATAATCCTGCGTTCGTGCACGAAAGTGTCAGATTTGGTGGTGGGGGAGTGTTGGTGTATGGTGGCATCTCCATTGACGGGCGCACAGATCTCTACATCATTCGAGATGAACCTCTGACTGCTCGCCGATATAGGGATGAGATCCTCAGACCTATTGTAGTCCCTTACGCTGCAGCAATCGGAGATGACTTCATTTTAATGGACGATAACTGCAGGCCACATCGTGCTAACCTGGTGGATGATTTCCTTTTCGAGGAAGGAATCGTACGAATGGAATGACCAGCGTGTTCTCCAGACATGAATCCAATAGAGCACGTTTGGGACGTTCTAGGAAGACAAATTGCTGGCCACCAACCACCCCCACACACTCTCCAAGAACAGGAAAGAGCTCTTCTGGAAGAGTGGGACAGAATACTCCAACTCGTGATTAATAGCCTTATTGACTCCATGCCTCAAAGGTGCTCAACATTGCTGGCCGTCCGTGAAAACCATACCCCTTACTGAAAATGATTTCCTTTGAAAAAACACCTTTTCTTATTCTTTTTTTCTCATATTCACAAATTGTGTTTTTTTCCTTTTGTACACAAATGCGCAAAAAAATGCATTTTTTCTTCTGCCAAACATGTGTAATTTATTCTCATATAACCTACTACATCTGCCGACCATGTATCAATCAGCTAAAAAGTTTCCCAGCCACAAGATCCACCGAAAACCGCAATATCCTTTAATTATTTTGAGCAGTGTATTTTTCAGTTACCGATAAGTGCACCTTATAAATTTTACAACAAGTGTATTGTCTGTGTAATGTTGAGAGTAAAAATTAAGAGAAAAATTGCATTAACAACAGCAGAATGGAACAGTTCTTTAAAAAACAGTAAGCATACAGCTTTCGGGATATTTATTGATGGTAAAAGATGAAAAAAGTGTTGATTATGAAATAATCCTTAAAATAATACTTAAAAAATTAAAAATAATTATAAATAATACTTAAGAAATAAGCCTTTACATGCTTTAAAGGGTAACTTTTAAAAATTTACACACGAGCAGAATTTTTTTTTTTATTTATTCATTTAGATCGTTTTCATTTTACTTCAGAATTACATTTCTTTGT